TTGTTACAGGGGAAAGTTTTGAAGAGTGTGCAACAAGGGAGGTGAAGGAGGAAACAGGATTGATAATTGATAAAACCGAGTTTCTAACGGTAACTAACAATGTCATCTCAGAGAAAGTGCACATCGTTTGCGTATTCATCAGAGCAGTCCCTGCTGATGTTAACCAGCAGCCTGAAACACTTGAACCTGAGAAATGTGCTGGTTGGGATTGGTATGAATGGAACAATCTCCCTAAACCACTCTTTGGTCCTTTAGAAGATATGGTCCAAAGTGGCTTCAATCCTTTTCCAACTACTTGATAGTTAACTGTTTTGCTAAGTATTTAGGATTCGATGTTGCTAGGATTGATCACTAGTTCGAGCGGTGGAATCAATCCTTGATGTTTGTGTTAGAGTAGTTTGTCTACATTACACCCTCTAGTGGTACAGTCCTTCCACGGACTCTACATAATAGCGGAATGCTTTGAGCATCTAACTATCCCAACACTAGTGTTTTTGGTTTTGTAATGGCAAGTGATTCTTGAATATGCTGTGTTATTTGTAGTAATATAATATCTATTTAATATGAAATGTTGATGATTTATGATGTTATGCCCCTCTGCAACATCCTTTTGGTGTGTAAATTTCTGATAACATGAGGTATCTTGAGTCGATTAAAACTCCAAGATTGCGAGGTTCAAAGGCCTTGAGGTTGCTTAGAAAAGTCCGGCTAAAGTAGACAATACCTTGCAATTGGGTTTGGGCCGTGAAAAAATGGTATCATAATAGGAGGAGTAGGTTGGGGGTCGTGTAAGGACAAATTCAAGATTCAACGAGATACTTATTGTGTAGCCAGGCCAAATCTCAACGAAGACGTTTAGTCCCGAAGAATGTAAGGGAGATTCACTGTGAAACTTATTTTAGATTAAAATTTGTTTTATATTGGGTGAACTTTGCAAAATTTAGGTTGTCTTACTATATGTTTTCTTTCTGTTTTTTTAACCTAATTTTCTTTCTAAAAAGGGGCTATTATTTCTAACAAACAATTGATCCAAGTCATTATAAAGAAGGACAAGACTTCCCAATTCTATTTATTTGATCTTGACTAAACTAAGAAAAGTTATTGAAACTCACAACTTTGAAAATACTTGTCAAAATCAGGAAGAAAAATATTCATAAATAACTTTAGTTTAGAGCGTAATTATAAAATATAGCTATAGTTATTATATCAAGCGGAAGAGTTATATCAAATAGATATTAATTGTATCAGCGAACGAGTTGTATTTAGGCGATAGGTACCAGTTGTATCAGGAAGAACAACACATTGTATATGTACAAGTGTGTATTGCATTTTTATTACAAAACCCAAAATAAAACTATGTATCCAATTTTTTGAAATTGTAATTGTATATCATAAAATACAATCTAAATATTTGCAATATCATGTAATTTTTCCAATTAGGATCAATATTTGTTTGTACATCATCAAGGGGATGATGGGTTAATAATATTTAAAAAGTAGTTATATCTTAAACACGCCATCTTTAAAAAATTAATTCTTAATCGTTCATATAAAGCAATATCATGCTTACTCATCACCTAACTATTATCAATTATAAGATGTTTTCAAGATTGTTAATTGGATTTTAAGCTCTTTGGTTTTAGATCTTGATTTTGACATCTCTAGCTTATTCAACATAATATATACTTTTGTCCTTAATTAATCTCCTAGTTGTTGATTGTAGATGAAAATTAGTTGGTCCGTGACATTTAGGTCCATAATCACACCCCTCTCCCTTCCTAATACTAAAATATTTATTGAATAAACCACTAGTAATTTCTTTTTATATGTCCAAGTTTTGACGAATAGAGTTATACGATACAAGAAGCGGAGGTAGAAGCTGACATATGGGTTTGATCGAGCTATATTTCAACCCCTATATTTGTATATATAAATTCATTAAATATGTAAAGTAATTAAATGCAGAATCAAGTCACTAACATCTGATATAACTATTTTTTGAATTTAGAATTCGTAAACACTTCGCAAAATTAAAATTAACTATGAAATTCATCGCTAATGTGTTGCTGATATTGCTCGTAGCTAACATACTTTTTGACAATGTATTGCTAAATAGAATTAGCGACTACATAAAATTGTTTGTCGCTAATTCCTGTTTTTTTAGTGAAAGTTCAAATCTTTGTTCCACTTCAGTCGATATCTACTATTGAAAGATAGCAAAAACTTTATAATCTAAATTAAAATACGCATAAATTGGCCTGAACATCATCGTTACATATATTTTTTAAAAATTATAATAACCAATCACTTGTTGATAGATTAGTGGTGTAACTAGAAATTCAACAAAGTTTTTGACCCTATCTATATATATGTTTATTTACTGGCTACCTCACATGTGGTGTAAATTGAACAGTCGGTGGAGGAAATAATACAAGAATCTTATTGACTTTTAAACCATATGTTATATTTATATTATTTATAATTTTCAACAATAGGGAAGACTTTGTATTAACCATTATGACCTGTCTACCATAATCTTTAATTGATAAGCCATTTCCAATATTTTATTGGCTCAATGTTAACAAGCATGATTACTACATTACTTTTTGACATTGTTGGCTTCTTTTTGATAACATTGCTGACACTAATGTTTCATCTTATTAATTGCAATTTCACACTCTATAATACCTACCATTCTTATTGACATGACTTGATATTTTTTGAAAGCTCATATTTTCGTTCGGAATTTATATTAGAGTTTTGATTAAATTTAAATTACGCATTACCGAGTCTATTTAATGGTGATACTTCTAATAAATTTTTTTTATATTCATGGCTTAAATTCAAATTTTTTTATTAAGGGTGAAGCAGTCTCCATATTAGTGCTCTTTTATGTCTTAATTTACGTAATATTGTTTGACTTGATATAAGAAAACATTTTTTTGAAAGAAAAAAAATATCTTTTAAAATTTATTGTTTAAAATAAATCTCGAATATTTATATGACTATAAAATATTTTGATAAAAATAAACAATAAATTTTAAGTTAAAGTCTTTCTAATTATTAAAAAAAAGTGACATTTTTTTAGAACAAACTAATAGGGTAAATGTACCACATATTGGAACAGAACCCATTGTGGCTCATAAATGTTGTTTTAGTCATATAACTATTTGTATAAGAGATCCCTATGATATAAAAACATAATAATAACGATAATATATTAATATATTCAATATAATCTTATAAATGAAGTTTGAATATGATAAAACATACTAGATTTTACTCCTATTTGTAGCAATAGGACCAATTTATATATATTAAAATTCTAACTTGTCATGAAACATCATTTTTTACTAGAATGAGCCTTTCGATTATAGGTTCATCTAAATTTATAACTTTTGATATATGAAATATATATGAACTCAAAATTTTAATGGCATAATGAATTTATTATAAAATTGAACCTGTGAAATTTATATTCTGAATCTAGCTCGATTAAGCTATTGTCAATTTAGTAGTACTATATTGTGCCTCCTAGACCACGCCTACTGCTTCTGTATCTGCACATACAGACTGCATATAGTATAGTACACAGTGCATGTATATAGAATAAAATTCAAATAATTTAATGGAGTAATTCTGATAAAATTAAAAGCAAAGAAAATTACACAACACAATGGTGGCTAAATGGTCCCTATATAATTTCATAGATTTATGTGCAAACATTATTTGAGTTTTTCTTTTTCTATCTTTGAATTTTAATTACTAAATCTTGAATTGCAAAAGTCCCTAGTGGGTGTGTTTGGTTTTGGCCTTTCACCTGTCGTTTAGTTGTTTTCAATGTATATGTCACTTGATAACGTTCGTTCGATGTACTAAGCTCTCGTAGTATTTAAATTATAAACACAATACGTATTATTGATAATCAGAAATTCATATAAAATAAATTTATTTTCATTATTCACAACCTAAAAATCCTTCTAATTGAAGAAAATATTTAATCGTAAATTTAGCTGCTTTTAGGACTTTAGTACATGTCTTTCAATATTCATAATGGTATATTTATAGACACCATTAAGTTTAAGAATTACACTAAGTAATGAAGTGTCTAATTAACAAACATTCCTACTATATAGGGCGGTTCAAAATCGAATAGATCAGATGCATACAAACTAATTTAAACACCATCACTAATACAACCTACAACACCATTTGATAAAAACAAAAGATAACACCACCGAGATTTGGTGCAATAGATAACGTGTATCCTTCTTTAATCAGAGATTTTAAATTAGAGTCTTGAATATGAATAATTTTTTGTAGGAAGCATTTCTCTCGAATAGGTCATACGCAACATGAATCTAGTTAGTCGAGCTTCAATGAACCGAATGAAAAATAAAAAAATCTTGTCTTATACTCCTTTCGTTACAATTTATTTATCATACTTTCCTTTTTAGTCTGTATTAAAGAGAATGCCTCTTTTATCTGCCAACTCTTTAATTTCAATTTCCACTTGACATATGACATGTTTAAAACCATCAAATTGTCGAATATCTATACATTTGGCATATTTTTAGTTTATGACCTTCTTTATGACTTTTCTGGTCCCGTATCAAGTCAGAATAAGACAAACAAATTAAAACTACGAAACAAGATCCTTTTATCTCTCAATCTTTACCTTCCACCACTACTATTTATCTTTTCCCAATTTCACATTCTCTTGTTCTCTGTGCTCCATTTTTCTTGATACAGTTAGGTAGGGCTGCTCACCTTCTTTTGTCAGGATTCTCTCTGCTACTAAAATTCATTTATTTCCCAAAGTCCAACAAATTGATTCAAAAAATATATTTTAAAAAAAAAAAACAAAATCACTTTCAAACCCCATAAAAACCACAATATTAGACCCCCCAAAAAAACATAAAAGAGTCAAAAACAACTTCTCATATTTTCCTAACTTCCTCAACTTCTCTTTGTCTCTTTTGTTTTACTTCAAATTTCAAAACAAATGAGAACAATAATGGCTAAAAACCAACATGAGTCCTTCTCTTTTTCAAGAAGGTACTTCAATTTCAAGAAAAAAGTTGAAGATGAAGAGTATGATGATGAAGTTTACTTAAATGATTTCCACTCTTCCTCGCTTAGAGGCGAGGAAGAGTATTTTGGGATGCATTCTACAGCGAATGCATCCACAGTAAGCAAGAAACTGTCGCGTTCGACAGTTTCTAAGCTTCGTTCGGCTCTTACTTTTGGTAAGAGCCGAACACAAATAGGGCTTGGGAGTAAAGTTGTTGGTACTTTATTTGGTTATAGAAGAGGACATGTTCATTTTGCATTTCAAGAAGATCCTAAATTGGGCCCAGCATTCTTTGTAGAAATGGCCACTCCTACAAGTCATTTAGTTAGAGAAATGGCATCAGGATTGGTTAGAATTGCATTAGAATCAGATAAGAGGACAGGGAAAAAAGGGGTAAAATTGCTAGAAGAGCCAATTTGGAGGACATATTGTAATGGTAGAAAATGTGGCTATGCAATGAAAAGAGAATGTGGGCCTGATGAATGGAAGATTTTGAACTCTATTGGGCCTGTTTCAATGGGTGCTGGAGTTTTACCAAGTGATGGTGATGGAATTGGGTTAGAAGGTGAATTAATGTATATGAGGGCTAAATTTGAAAGAGTTGTTGGGTCAAAAGATTCTGAGGCCTTTTACATGATGAATCCTGATGGTCATGGTGGTCCTGAACTTAGCCTTTACTTGCTTAGGGTTTAAACCGTGGCGTTCTAGTCAACTTGTGTTGTCTCGACTATTTCACTGAGTACCTTGTTATGTTCGGGTTGAATTATATATGTATTAGTATATGATCATAAGTTCTTATGAAGACATAAGAAGTTAGTTTTTTATGATGAGTTTGGAGGGAGGGAATATGGTATAATTATGTATTTTTGGTTTGTTTTAAACTTTTAATGTACTATCAGGGTATGGGGAAGACAAATTAAAGATATGGAGGGGGGTGTGAACTATATATGTATAGATTATGTTTTTCTAGTTTTGTTGAAGTGAAAGATGATGAAGTAAACTTTGGTACTCTCTTTTTCCTATAAGAAGTTTATGAATCTTATTTTCATTTAGATTTTGTTAAGTGAGTTGTACTTTTTTTCATTTTGATCTAGTCTATTGTTTATATTTTTTATATTTATGAGATAAGGTGGAATTGAACTTTTTTCTACAAGATTACACCAATGAAGTAAATCTAGGTGATGAATTTCATTGTTGCCTTATTGTTCTTTGGAGAAGCTACTCCGTTATTCGATCAAAAATATTTATAATCACTGGTTAATATACTTATATATTATATATAAGTCGACTATCTTTTGAGTGGGCGACTATTTAAGTTAATGTCACAAACTTCTCATCACTAGGATAGAGTTACCATGATCAAAAGGTATATCAACCCTAGTCAATTAGTGTTATTTTGTCATAAGCGCTTGAGCTCCAGTCATGTGAAACTTCAGATATAACGTCTGAAACGAGACTTGAAAATTTATATGACGTGCAAATATGGCTTGAATGGTGATTTCAAAATTGAGTATAAATTATGCAACTATTCCGCCAAAGAAAAAAAGATTTACAAGAACATATACCTAAACGAGGGCCTTCTAGTGATTACCACAACGATCTCCTTTCACCATCAAGACAATTACAATGTAACACATCCAAATATAATAATCCACTAATAACTTGTTTGGAAGGGAATTAAGAAAACTAGAAGACTCTAATTATAATTTTAATAAGGAAAGTGATGGAGATAAAGTAATTAATTTCTTGCAAAAAGGAGAACCATATTTGATTACTCCATTAGATATGATAGTGCCATGGATTTTGATAAAAACAAATATAGCAACATGATTATATGAACCAAATAATTCACTTCCAATTATCTCCAACACGTGTGTTGATGTGTGCTTTTCTTGAATTAGAAGCCTATAGTTGATAATTGACTTTTCTTTTTCTTTCATTCGGTGTTTGAAGTATGCATTAAAGCTCCGATTAAATTCAGATCACACACTGCAAGATTTATTTGGAAGTGGCGCTACCAATATAATTTTTTCCATACTTAGGGCTCAAACTCGAGATCTGTGATTAAGAATGAAACAGACTTACTACTACACCATAATCCATGGTTTCCCTATTCGCTTTTTCTTTTTTACTTTTATTGTTCTCTTTATAATTGGGGTGATTTGATTTCAATATAATATGTTCACGTTTGTTAGGCTGAATCAAAAGTTTGTCTTACAAACTTAAAGGGTTATATCTATTTATCTCACTTTTGTCTTCTCCTTTTTTTTTTCTTTTTTTTTTTGTCTAATTTAAGTTTATAACTTTACTATTTATTGTCAAACATAGAATATTTCAACTTTGCTATAGGATAAACTAAATGGATAACTAATCAATCGATTATAAGAGATATAATAAATAATAGACTTTTGTATCGTGTTATGTCGATTGTTATGATCGTATCAATCAAATCCTTATTATACATATTTCAAAACAATAAATGAACCAACTTTCAAATGTATGTAACTATTTGAAATATTTGAGATATCAAGTTCTGAAATGAACAAATTTCCAATAGAAAACACTTTCTTCCTAAATAAATTTTACACAACATAAATCCAGATTAATAATCAAGCTAGATACCGAGTTAGTTATACAAAGAAACTACTAAAAATTACCAACTCGATTAGTTTGGTAATTTTTTAAAAATTGATTGTCTATTAAAAATAATTTTCTGTTCGATAAAGTTAAAGTAACGTTAATGTATACCCTATTTTTTTAATTAAAAAAATCCTATAATACTATTGTTGTGGTTGTAAATGACTTTTAACTTCTTTTTGTTTTCCTTTCCTCTATTCATTGGCATACTACTTTTTTTTTTATAAAAAAATAATTATAGTTTGACTAATGAAATGACAAATTTATATCAAGTAAACATCATGTCAGTGTTATATACACAATGGAAACATAGTTTTATGAGTGGGAAAAAGTAGATGAATACTCACAATCAATTGGTCTCCTTTATAGGGTTCAACTTAGGGTATACCACTTGATCTTGTTTTGTTTAGCTTTCTTATTTGTCATTGTCTCTCTATTTTTGTTGCTTATCTATAATTTCTCTCTTTCTCACTATGGAAAAATATCCAACTAATGTCCTTTCAATACATAACCAAGCAAGGATGAGGTAAAATTTATGACCATCCCTCTACGTTTAATCAGAAATTTCGAGTTTTATGAAAATAAAAAGAGTGCTTCATATGACATATCATCTTATGGGTGTATTTGATATTAACTATGCGCTACTCATGTCAATCAAATATTTATGACTATCAAAGTTCAATGACCTTTTTATATTTTGCATGACAAGAAAAAAAAAATGTAAGACTTGTAGATAGGCAAAGACATTAAGTCAATCCCCACATCATAACTCTTTTTTCTTTAAATTTGCAAAATTGTTGATTTTAATATAGTGTGATATATCGTCTGTTGATTTGAGCGATTTGACTATATCTCTTTACTCTATAGATGTGTTTATTAGTGATAAGGGTATCAAACTGATTATTAACTTTATTCTATTAAAATTTGTACTCTCTGTTTTTAAAAAAAAACCCAATTTCCTTTTTAGTGTGTTTAAAAAAGAATGACCCATTTTCTTTTTTGGCAACACTTTAACTTTAACTTTCCACGTAACATGTTTAAGGCCACAAGATTAAAGGACATTTTGGTACATTTGACATAACTTTAATTTAGAACCACAAGATTAAAAATCTTCTTTCTTTTTTTAAATTTCGTTTTAAGTTAAACTAGGTCATTCTTTTTTAAAACGGAGGGATTACAATTTTTTCATGTAAAGCTATAACATTTCTACCAAATGCATGGGTAAAATGATGTTTATTGTTTCTTGTGCATGTCTTATTGTGACCTTGATTGATGGGAACCTTTTCCTTGTAATAATCACCCTTGAATTCCATAATCTCAACAATTAATGAGAAATCAGCTAGCTCGAAGCAAGATTAGACATAATGATAAGTACATAACCACAAATTGGAGAAAACAATGAATTAATCTCTCCTTTTCAAATTATTTGTCGCGGTTTCTAAAAATAATAATATCGATATTCGTTGGAAAATCGATATGCTTCATTGAAGTCACTAATTTTGAAGGTTACTAGAAAACACATATATTGATCCAGTTGGCCACACATACCATGATGTCTTCACGTACATTCACGTTCTTCTATTTTTGACAATAAATATGCTTTGAAAACACATACATACACATATAGTTGATCACAACATCTGGAATTTGCTTTCAAAACGGTTATATCCATATACAGTTGGCCACATATATATAGAAAAAAAAAAATGATATACTATATCCGTTAGGACTAGATTTTATATGCGCGTGGATACAATATATTACGCTACGTTTTACCAAAATAAGTACTAATAAGTAATAGCGCTACTTATGAAATTTTCCCAAAATATTACTACTAGTAAAGCAATAACTTTCAGAAAGGATAAAAGGCTTGTAAGGATACTGGGCTTGCAGCCCATTAATGCTGTATGCCAACCATATAAGGCCCAAGGCTACAACCAATGTAAAGAAAGGCCCAAATGGGCCCAAAAGTGCGACAAGCATAATGTGTTCTGTGGGACTATAGTATAATGTCCTTAAGGTATCATTTGTTTATGTATGTAATTAAATTAATGTTATTTTTGTTTTTAGGAAAGAATTTACAAAAATCTCACTAGTTTATGAGTTAATTGCTTAGTTACACTCTAATTGATAATATTATACTAAATTTTACCAGATTAGGCATCCAGTTACATGTATCTCGGGATACATAAGACAAATAGTGTTATTTACTCTCTATATATATTAAGCTAAGTCAGCCCTATTTCTTGAGTGCTTATCTTTCTTTTGCTAGTATTTGTGTTTGAGTTGAGTATGACATTTCCTCTTTTAATTAAGAAGAAGGATTATCAAATTAACTAGAGTATGATCTTTCTAGTTTTGCTAGTATTTGTGTTTGAGTTGAGTGTGACATTTCCTGTTTTAAGAAGAAGGATCATCAAATATATATATATATATATGATCTTTAATGCTTGTGTTAACCCTATTAGTTTTCTAAGCTAAGTGTTTGAAAATAGTCAAACCCTATTGGTTTAAAGAAGATACTTTAATAAAGGTCAAAAACCCTAATTAAAATGAAGGTCAAAAAGTTCACAAACCCTAATTAGTACTACTTGAATCCTTTTAGGTTTCCAAGTTATTTTATTAATATAAAGGTCAAAAAGTTGAAACAAGAGTAACCCTAATTATAATGAAGGTCAAAAACCCTAATTAGTACTTGAATCCTTTTAGGTTTATCTGTATCGATCTACCAAGTTATAAATAGATTAACCCTAAACAACATAGCAGGATTAAATCATACTTATGGCAATGGCAACTCACAATATTCCAGAGGGAATACTTATGGAGATTCTCACTAAACTTCTTGTTAAGTCTCTTTTTCGTTTCAAATGTGTTTCAAAATCTTGGAATACTTTATGTGTGAGCCTTACTTTAAGAAGAAGCATCACAATCATGCCAAAAATCGACGTGATTCCCAAAAATTGCTTATTGGGGGTCCTCTCTGGCTAAAAGGGATTTTAATTTCTATTCCACTTGTTTATCCCAAAATCATCGACTAGTTGTTAATGATATACATAAAGTATTTTGGCCGACATATACATAAAGTATTTTGGCCAACTATTTTTGAACGAACCAGTAGTTCTAAAGTCTATTGTTGTTGCGATGCCTTGTTTCTCATCGGGATTTGGACTGGACCTGGACCTTCTCGGGGC